GAAGTAAAGAGATACTTGAGAGTGTATGTGTGCGTATTTTTCCACTAAAATGAATTTGGAGGCAAAATTCAAGAAAACAAAAATTTTCTTCAAGTTTCTAATACCTCTGTTTCACTAGTCTGTTGGAATGAATTTTTGTATTTTCTGTTTTGTGCTACACTTTGGTAAAAGAATCACAGTGGAATTGTCAGTCATTTTGGTCTGAAGTGACTCTATTTTCTCATGATATTTATGCTCAATAGTTTACATTTATTCTAGAAATTCTGAGCTTACTTGAAGAAAGTTCAGAGGGTAGAGCTGGGTGATTTCTTTGCTTATGTTCTTTGGGCAGAGTCTGTGCTTGAATAGGTAGCTCTTTGATCATTAGCATCAAGAGTAAAACTCAGACATAGGATGTCTAAAAAATGATTTAATCTCACATCATGTCAGATGGACTCCTGGTTTTGTTTTTATCAAGTCACTAAAGAATGAGACCAGTATTACTTAGCAGGAAAATCAGCATGTTAGTTTCAGACTAGTCAGAACAAAAGCAGTAGACTGAACTGACTCCAGAGATACCACATCTCCGAGCAAGGGTAGAGGGTAGGTTGCTGGATACGTGGAAGATTAAGAAATGTCACTTCTCTTCAGAAAGAAACAGATCTTGAGATGTCACTTAAAGATGTGTGGGTACCCCTTTAGAGTCAAGTCTCTCACCAACCCTAAAATGGTTCCCTTAATTAAGATGTCTTCTTCCCTGCCCCCATATCCATCCTTCCTTTATCTCAACCATCCCATTCCTCCAAGTTCTCACCAATCCTCCCTTCTCCCTTCTCTCTCCCCATCTTCCCTTCTCCCCATCCCACCCCCACCCCCGTGCTCCCAACTTTTGTCCAGCGATCTTGTTTACTTCCAATATCCAGGAAGATAAGAACAAGTTTTTCTTTGGCTTCACCTTCTTATTTAGCTTCTCTAGGACCATGAATTATAGGCTCAATGTTCTTTGTTTATGGCTAGAATCCACTTATGAGTGAGTACAAACCATATTCATCATTTTGGGTCTGAGTTATCTCACTCAGTAAAATGTTTTCTATTTCCATCCATTTGCATGCAAAATTCAAGATGTCATTGTTTTTTTACCGCTGAATAGGACTCTAAAATGTATGTTGCCATACCTTCTTTATCCATTCTTCTATTGAGGGGGACCTAGGTTGTTTCCAGGTTCTGGTTATTACAAATAGTGCTGCTATGAGCATAGTTGAACAAATGCTTTTGTAGTATGATTGGGCATCTCTTGGGTATATTCCCTAGAGTGAAATTGTGGATCCTGAGGTAGGTTGACTCCCAGTTTCCTGGGAACCCGCCACACTGATTTCCAAAGTGGTTGCATGAGTTTGCATTCCCACGAACAATGGATGAGTGTTCCTTTTACTCTACATCCTCTCCAGCATAGGTGAAGTCCCCAGCTAGGTCCTTGGGCAGCAGAGGAAAGGGTCTTGAACTGGCCTTTTCCCATAGCCACACTGATGAATATCTTTTGTATCACCATAGAACCTTCATCTGGTGATGGATGGAGATAGAGACAGAGACCCACATCGGAGCACTGGACTGATCTCCCAAGGTCCAGATGAAGAGCAGAAAGAGGGAGAACATGAGCAAGGAAGTCAGGACCACGAGGGGTGTGTCCACTCACTGAGACGGTGGGACTGATCTAATGGGAGTTCACTAAGGCCAGCTGGGCTGGGACTGAACGAGCATGTGATCAAACCGGACTCTTTGAATGTGGCTGACAATGAGGAAAAAACTGAGAAGCCAATGATAATGACACCGGGTTTTGATTCTACTGCATGTACTGGCTTTTTGGGAGCCTAGTCTGTGTGGATGCACGCCTTCCTAGACCTGGATGGAGTGGGGAGGGCCTTGGACTTCCCACAGGGCAGGGCACACTGACTTCTCTTAGGACCGGAGAGGGAGGGAGAGGGAGAGTGGGGGGAGTGAGAGGAAAATGGGAGGATGGGAGGAGGTGGAATATTTTAATAAATAAATAAATTTTAAAAAAAAGATTTGTGGGTGAAACCGGGTACTGGTGGCACGCGCCTTTAATCCCAGCACTCGGGAGGCAGAGGTAGGCAGATCTCTGTGAGTTCAAGACCATCCTGGTTTAGAAGAGTGAATTCCCTGATAGATTAAAAAACTACAGAGAAACCCTGTTTTGAAAATCAAAGGAAACAAAGAAAAAAAGTGAGGGTGATACAGAGTTGTTGAAGGTGGTTAAACAGAGAATGGGGCTTAGCCATAGCTGCTGTGCCTATGAGCAGTAGCACTAGGTCCACACAGTCAGGTGTTCCCGACAGTCACCTATGGAAGGAGAAGGGTCTCCCCCAGGCCCTACTACTCACTGTGGTCTATTGGGGATAGAGATAAACGTGACTAGCTAGAGGCACTCTGGAAGCACTCAGTGAACTTGTCTTACACTGTTGAGATGAATTAATGTCTGCGAACTGTTTTGGAAAATATCTGGTGTATAATAATGGTAGATTTGAGTGATGACTCTCAAAGTCATGGTTTAAGAGCCATGAAGTGGATCCATGAATGTCTCCATGAGTAAAGCACTGGCCACACTAGCATGAAAACCTCCCCAAATATGGTTCATTGAACCCGAAGTGGAAGAAAAGTACTAATTCCCAAAGTTGTCCTCCTACTCCCACTTTCAAGCCATGGCATGGAGGCATTCAAACTAACATACATTCATTAGAGATAATAATAATAATAATAATAATAATAAATTTAAAAGTCCTTTTTAAGTCTACAAAAGAGCCATGTAAGGAGACTGAAGCCGACTGTGTAAGACACAGGCAGCATTGTGAAATAGGAGCAAACATTGGAGCTGGAAATGAGTGAAGACTAAGAGAACGACAATTGAAAGTTGGCTAGAAGTTAGTATAGGAAGAGATGTCAGTATTCAGGCATCTGTACTGGCCTGCTCTTGGGACATGACAGGACACATTCTCAGCTGGAATTAATAAGAACACGTCCTGTCCACATTTACTGCGTTCCATTTTAAAAGGTGGGCAATGTTCCATTAATTTCTGTATCTTGATCTGATGTTCAATTTATATTGATGTCATAAAAAACAACCCATCAGATTAGAAAATCTACAATGAAATGAAAATGAAGCTTATTGAGAGATTCTGACAAGAATTAGCTAACAGCAGCAGACTAAAGGAATCAAATAGCCTTGTTTCCCTCATTCCTCATCATCCTCACCATCGTCATTGTGCTGTTTGAGATCTAGTCTGGGCCATTGCATGTGCCAAGCAAAGCCCTTCCTTGAATTATATCCCAATCTCAAAGATGTTTCTAAAGTCAGCAGTCAGTATTGTGAGGCCCCACCAAGAACTTTGAAGGAAGTTCTGTTGATGCAAAAACCAGCTTTTCCTTTTAAGGTAATAAAAGATAGATTCTTCAGGAGTCGCTTTGAGAGACTATGGCTCCATATTCCAAAGTGGAATGAGTTTCATGAAGTTTCTGTAATTTTGCAGAACTTGGAAAGTTATAAATCAAGACAAATTTAAGATATATTGGTGGGTAACAGAGAGGCAGTTACAGCAAGATGGAGGCAGCTTTTCTATAGGACATCAGATGACATGATAGCTTTCAGATTGGTGGAAGTTAGTGGCTGGCTAAGTTAATAGGTTTCACAAAGTTTTTATCTATTAGTTATAGGCTGTTAATTCTTTCATAGGTGGCCAAAGAATGGCTGTGTAGGAGCTAGAGCTGTCATGTAGTAAAGTAGTTAGTCTCTGTAGCTGCGGAATCCCAACCTCTCCACTTCACTGTAGTTTTAATCAGAAATGAGCAAATCAGTCTTTACTGATACAGCTTCATTGCAGGAATTCTCATCACAAACTTTATGGGCAAAACTCATAGGAAAAAAAATCAGCTTCTTTTAGCTTATTTATTTATTTATTTATTTATTAAAATTCCCATCTCCTCCCCGCCTCCCTTTTCCCTCCCTCTCCCCACCTCCCCCTCTCGCTCTAGTCCTAAGAGCAGTCAGGGTTCCCTGCCCTGTGGGAAATCCAAGGCCCTCCCCACTCCATCCAGGTCTATAAAGGTGAGCATCCAAACAAGGACGTATCTAATAAGAGTCTGTTATGATTTTTAAAACAGGAGGGAGCATTCTACTCTTCTAGAGGACCTCAATTTAGTTCCCAGCACTCAATGACTCTACACCTCTTGAAACTTCAGCTGTAGGGAACCCAATGCCCTATTTCAGCCTCTGAAGTACCCATGCACACTTGGCAACACAATCACACAGACAGAGAAATACATAAATAAGGAAATGAAAATAAAAGAAATTACCTTGAGCTAAATGTGTGAGTGGAAACACATATCTAGGAAAAATAATACTGTCAAAACCTTTGTAATTTTGATATAGATAAAGATTTATTTTGAAAGCATGAAAAAGTGATATGTTAAATTTTAATAAAAAGTTAATTTTATATTTTTGATTAATTTATTTCAGAACATACAGACTAGAAAGTAGAAAAATATTGTATACAGTTCTATCAAAGGATTTCCATTCAAATTCTCTCTATATATACATACATACGTGTGTGTTTGTGTGTATGTATGTGTATACAAGCTCTCACTGTGCTACAATTAGAAGACAGAAAAAACAAATAGGCAATGAGTAAATATGGACATATATTTGGCAAATGAAAATGTGAGTGGCCATAAATACTTGAAAAAGATATTTGGTCACCTAGTATTTAGAAAAATGAGAAATCCTATATTCATCAAGATGGTAAAGTTTAAAAGCACTGATATTATCAAGTGTGGGAAAGATGAAGGGCAAAAGGATTTCTTACATTTTGCAGAGAAAGTTAGATGATGTAACCCATTCAAAACATGCTACAGCTTTCTAGTGAAATGAAAGTGTACTTGAGTTCTAGAGTTCTAGATGTTTACCAAAATTAGAATAAAATAAAATGTGTTTCACACAGTGACTTTCACAGAAATTGGCATGAGAACTTTATTCATGATTGTTAAAACTTAGGAAGATATCATATATTCATGTTAACATGGAGAAATATTATGGTGTATTTGTATAACACTTAAAGTACTTTGTAAAAAGAAAAATGAACCTCTCTTTTGTGTCATAAGCTCATGTTACTTAAAAAATAATAAGAGTAAAGGGTGCAGTGAAAAATAGAGTCAAATACAAATCTGTACTTAGTATATGACACTCTGGACTATACCTAACTAATTAACAGTACAAGAGAGCATATGTCTGCTTTATAAAACCCGGGTAGGGCAAGAAGTAGAAAAGAACTTTAGGTAGCAAAAATAAAACACCGTATTATGGTTTGATTGATCTCTTAGTTGGGTTTTCTGTTGTTGTGATGAAACATGATGACCAAATGAAAGTTGAGGAGGACAAGGTTTATTTGACTTACACTTCGGCATTACTCTTCATCATCAAAGTAAGTCAGGACAAAAACTCAAACCTGGAACGAACCAGGAGGCAGAAGCTGATGCACAGGCCATGGAGAGGTGCTGTTTACTGGAAGTTTCCAATGGCTTGTTTAGCCAACTTTCTTATAGAACATGGGACCATCAGTCAGGGGTCATACCGCCTGTAAAGGACTGAGCCCTCTCAATCTATCACTAATAAAAAAAAAGGCTCTATAGGCTTTCCTACAGCCAGATCTTATTGAGGCACTTACTCAATTGAGGTTCTATCCCTTCAGATGAGTCTAGCTTGTGTCAAAATGACATAAAACTAACCTGCACAATAGTTCGTGAGATATGTACATGTTTATAAACTCATATTTCTAATGACCTACAGTAATGATGTGTAAGTACATATAAACTCCAAGGTCAAATTTGATATTTTTAATGTCAGGGTCCAAAAAATGAAGGCATAAAAAGTCTATAACCATTTTAGAGCTAAAGGACATTGCAGTGAAAGCACAAATTTAGTGAATGTGAGGAAATATCAATAATGATATACCCCAAAAAACTGACAATTATTAATATGGAGTATGGAATAGATCATATTACTAGGTCAATACTAAATTTCTTGAGTTTTATCATTTTAGTACGATGTTATAATAGAAATATCTTAGAGAGAAGAGGAGAGAGAGAGAGAGAAAGAGAGAGAGAGAGAGAGAGAGAGAAATTACAAGCAATAAGCAACCAACTGACAAATAGAACCTTGAAACTGCATTTTGGTTCTTAATTGTAATATCAAAGCAGTGGAATATTGATATGGTTTATCATAGTGATGATGAGTTACATATGCTATTTATCAGGGTTCTGCATTTGTTTCTGTGTGACATTAGGAAACAAAGGAATAATTCCTTACGGCCTGGGAACAAAGGGCATTTGTTCTCCAGACATAAGTTCTGTGTTTAGTTGGAAGGAAGGTGACTTGTGGTGTGTAGTTAGATTTCAGCAGAACATTCCTTTCTTTTCCAGCTCATTGCCATATTTGCTTGGCTGACTGAATCCTGTGGTTAAAGCATTCAGTCATTAAGCAGTCACAAATCATCACAGGATACCAGAAAAGATGATAAAATGTCCCACTTTTTACTTTCCCTTCATATTGCACACAGAATCAGGAAATCCTTCCATTCTCTTTTCACAGATGCAGGGGAATTTTGTAGCACAGTCACATTCATGTATTCCTCGAAAACTGAGACATGCACAGCCTCCATTTTTCTTTAATAATTTTAATTTCATCAAATCTCCATAAAGGGAAACATATAATGGGCAGTTATTAAAATATGAATCTTATATTGGTATATTCAATGATTTTATAAAACAATGTTTATTGAGGGGAAGACGGCAGATGAGAGTACTGGGAAAGACAACTGGAATGAGGATCATTGTGGTCTGAGTTAGAAACCTAGTGCAATGGAAACTCCCAGGAATCAATGAGTGTGACCGTAGCTAGAATTCCTAGCAATGGGGGATACCGAGTCTGAACAGGCTATTTCCTGTAACTAGGCAAAACATTTAGTGGAGGCATTGAGACCCCATACCAATCACTTAACCTCTGATCTACAATTTTCACTGCATATATAAGATAGTGGGGTAAAGGTGTAGGAGTGGAAATGGAAATGGACAATCAATGACTGGTTGAGTTTGAGACCCATACCAAGAGAGGGATCCCACCTCTAAAACTGCCTGAGGTTGGACAGTCCAGAGACCTAGGTAGAGCTGAATATGAATGGCAAAAAGGCAATAAAATGATTCCTATTGATACTCTGCTATACTCATAGATTATTGCCTAGCTCGATTGTCACTGGGTGCAGCAGTAGATGGAAATGTGAAGAGACACACAGCCAAACCTTAAACAAATCTTGGGGTATCCTGTGTAAGAGTAGAAGAATGGTTGTGAGCATCAGAGGCATCAAGGATACCATAAGAAAACCACAGAATCAACTAAACTGTGTTCATAGGGACTCACATAGACTGAACCAAAAAGCAGGGAGCCTGCATGGGAGTGATCTATGTCCTCTACATATGTGTGACAGTTGCATGGCTTGGTCTTCTTATGTGTCTTCTAACGGTGAAAGCAGGGCTTTTCTCTGACTCTGTTATCTGATTTTGGGACCTGACTGCTGTGGGGCAATTGTCTGTACCCTGTCACTTGTATTTTAATAAAACACTGTTTTACCAGTATCAAGGAAGATAGTATAGGTGTGGGAACCAAACAAATTACTGGTGGTACAATGAGAACAGGAGAATTCTGGGAAGAGGAATACAGGTAGTCTGCAGTCTTCATTCAGATACAGTGGAAGCAAGAAGAGAACACTTCATGGTAAATGCACCAAGCCATGTGGATAATATAGACTAGAAAAAAGGGTCAAATTAAGATGTATTAATAAGTTGATAAGAGCCCCAAGCTAATAGGCCAACCAGTTTGTAATTAATTTAGTAGACCTCTGTGTACTTCTTTGGGATTAATTGGCTGCAGGACCAGGTGGGAGAGAAACCTCTGTCAACAAATGGTGTCAATGTGGACAGCTAAATCCACTTAAAACCTGAGAGGGTTTGGGAAGTAATTCTAAAAACAAAGGAACAGACTTATATATGGCTTCTTGGTAGCAGCATTTTTTTGGGTGATTTCTGTTTGCAGGAGGCAAGTGCATCTCATTTTAGAAAGGTTTCCTGACTCAGCTTTAGCTGCAAAAACTTTCAGTCCTTTTAAAAGATTCCACCATAAAACACTTAAATGGTGTTGGTGAATAACCAACCACGTGTTTTTCCGTGGTGGCAGGAACCTTGAAATTCCATAGAGTTGTAATTAACATAGTTATGGTAGGTACCTCTTCCATGAGGCTAGACTCTCAGAAAGCTAAGGAATAGGGTAAATACAGACATCAAAGTCATGGCTTTAATCCTAACCATATTCATTAGCAAATTAGGGACTCAAGTGGTCAGAAAAAGAGAGATATACAGTAAAGATATATTCAGAAAAATAAAACCTCTAACTTATTTACAGTGTGTTTAAAAATATAAGTACGTTTGGAATAGAAAGAAAAAAAGGAAAGTCTTTCAAATAAAAAAGAAAGAAAGAGAGTAGTTGGGTATGTTGGCACACACCTTAATCCCTACACAGGAGACAGAAGCAGGCAGATCTGTGTGAGATTAAATTGTGGTGGCACATACTTTTAATCCCAGCACTTGGGAGACAGAGGCAGGCAAATCTTTGTGAGTTTAATGACAGCTTTGTCTACAGAATGAGTTCCAGGAGAATCAAAGATACACAGAGAAACCCTGTCTCAAAAAGCCAAAAATTAAAAATAAAAATAAAATAGAGTTTAAAATAAAGCCATGGAAACATTAAAAATCCACAGAGAGTCTGGATACTGTATGCTATTGTGTTGTCTTTAAATTGTTTGATGACTGGCGAAGGAGCAAAACTTCCTAAAAGATATTTGATAATAAATGCTGCTGGATTAATCCAATATATATATTTTGAAAATGCGTTGACTTCAATATTTAAGTAAAAAAGTATGTTACTTTGGAGAAGAGGCTTTGCTTTTGTTTCTACATGAAATGAGAGGCTGTGGATTCATTCTGGGCTAAGAAAAATCAGGTTTGATCAAGGAAGACTCCCAGAAGAATTTCCAATAGGAGAAGATGGTCCACATGATACAACATTTTATAGGACGTCTGTTGCAGTTTCCTCTGAGATCTGCATCTAGAACAGTTCCAAGACTACTGGCTGAAATAATCAAGCCTCACAGAATATTCCACTGAGGACTTGAACATAATTCAAATTTTCCTTTAGGTCTCCATAAGTTTATCAATGACCCCAAGAGCTGGAAGTATTCTGGAAAACTATGCCTACATTCCCCAAAAATAGATTACGAATGTTTGCCTTCCCATAGAATATTGGTTTAAAGTTGTTAAGAATAACTGTCAGTAGAAAAGCTAAACAAAGAATTTGCGGGGCGGGGGGGAGTAACTGCTATGGGACAATGATCTGTAACCTGTTGTTTGTATTTTAATAAAATGCTGATTGTTCAGTAGCCAGGCAGGAAGTAAAGGTGGGGTGACCAGACAGGAAGTAGAGGTGGGGTGATGAGTACAGGAGAATTCTGGGAAAAGGACAGTCACAGTCTATAATAGTCATCTAGATGCAGAGGAAGCAAGATGAGAATGCCTCAGTTATAAAGGCACCAAGCCACATGGCTAACACAGACAAGAATAATAAGCCAATTTAAGATTTAAAAATTAATTAATAAGAAGCCTGAGCTAATAGTCCAACCAGTTTATAATTAATGTAGTAGACCTCTGTGCATTTCTTTGGGTTTAAATGACTATGGGACCAGGTGGAACGGAAACTTCTGCCAACACCTGACAGACATTTCCTTTGGGACAACAGCTCCCCAACAATAAAACAGAGGATTATTATCAATTATGACAGCTCAGCTGAAAACTTAGGGTTGTTTCTAACTAGCTCTTACAACTTAAATTAATCCAGACTCAGAACTCTACTTCTCATTCTGCATGTCTGTCCCAATTTGTCTCCTGGTAACTCCTCCCCTTTCCTTACCAGTGTCCTCTGTACCTGGGAATCCTACCTAGCTGTTGGCCACTCAGTTTCTTATTAAAGTGGAAATAGCAACACATCTTCACAGTGTACAGAAAGAGGAACCTTTTCCTCATGCCAGGTTGCCTCATCCAGCTTCAGTTGGAAAGGAGATGCCAATGTGGGAGGGGGACTGCACTTTTCAGAGGAGAAAGGAGGAGGAGAAGGAGATTAGAGCATGGAAGAGAAAGAAGGGAAGAATGTAACTGAACTGGAAGGAAATAGTTAATTAAAATTATTTTATTTATTTATTTATTTTTGATTTTTCAAGACAGGTTTCTCTGCGTAACAGCTCTGGCTACTAATTTGTGAACAAGATTGATCTTGAACTCACAGAAATATGCTTGTGTCTAACAAGTGCTGGGAATAAATTCATCAGCTACTGCCACCTGGCAAAAAATTTTAAAAATAGAAAATAAAGGCAACCCTCAAAAATAAAACAGTATTTTCTTTCTTTTATTTATTTATTTATTTATTTTTTGCTTTTTGGATGATCAAATTGTAAGAATTGTATAATAAAGATTGTGTTTTTAAATACATACACACAAACAAACATATATTTTCCAATGTTATTTGAGGACAAAACAGAATTCATATGAGAAAAACTTCAATATTAGTATTTCTAAAACCATCAATAAGTACGTGGAATGGATATATGTGAAATGCAAATAGAGGGATGAATTCTGACGATTAAAAGATCAAATGACAATAGCACTGGGGGGAAAAAGAGGAGAGGATAAAAGGTGTATTAACCAAAACTAAGGATGTATAAAACACTTTATAGACCACCATTAGTTAATAAACTTGTGTTTGGCCAACACAAAGCAGGCTCTTTTTTACTTATGTGGTTTGGTTTTTTTGTTTGATTTGATTGTCATTTTTTTGTTTGTTTGGGAGAGAGTGAAGGAAAGAACTTGATTTTAGATGGGTAAGGAGATGAAAAGCATGAGGGATGTGTTAGGGGTTGGGAAAGATGATCAAAATACAGTCAAGTGAAAATGTATTTGAAAATAAAGATATAAATGTAAAAATAGAACCACAGAAAACATAAGTTATTAAGTGAAAATCAAAGTATAAAGCAGGGGATACACCAAGGGGAATTACTGGTCAGAGAAATCACAGTGGTCACCAAAACAGCACAACATTAGGCCATTGCCCTTGGTTACACCCTAACTACATGGTAAGATCTGTTAGCTGAAGATAGCACACACTTTGTTATCAGGACATAGAGAAATCAATTTCAAATCAATCAGGAAATATCTTAACTTGGGTTAGTTTTCAAAGGTTGATAGGGTTCTGCTGGAGTAGAAAAGATATGAAAATGAGAAAAACCATATAAAATGAGAGAAAGGCCTTGTACACAATCCTCCCAACTCTGGCACCAGTGTTAGAATTTAAGGGTTCAGGAAACTCACAATTTAGATGGGCCATTGTCAATCCATTGCCATTTGCTTTTGCTTATTTCATAAAATAATCCAATCCAGTAAGTGTTTGTAGTAAGCTGGTACTTTAGAAACTTCTGTAAGGAAAATAAAAATTTATATTATGATAAATTTTTCTCTGTTTGATGAGAATAGAACAGCCATAATAGGTTCCAGCTATTCTTATGTCAGTTCTCTTCTGTCCTGTCCTCCAGCCCTTCAGTTCCTCCAAGTTCATATTTAAAGTGATTCCTCATGTTATGTCAGAACTACTCAGCTACCTAAGTTATTTAAAAAAGAAGCTTTAAGTGTCTAGAGAAACTACTTTCATGAAAAGAATTTACATCTGTAATTCTCAGAGAAACGCTCAGTATGTAGCCAAGACTGGTCTTGAACTCACAATCTCCCTGCTTCAGATCCCTAAGTATACCTTACATATCCAGCTCTTTAAGTAAGTCTGATACCTTATGAAATTATTCAAATTCATATTTCAGAAGACTATGGAGGCATATGAGAAGCATTCATCTTACGTGACCCCCACAACTTCAAACCATACTCATTAAGATTAAAAAATCCTGTGAAAAGCTGTGTATTATCCTCCACGTTCTAGTGAGGAAGCCATACTATTATTCAAATCTGACAGTGACAGAACTTGAGGAAGTAGGAGGTTGTGGAAGTAATTAATGTGTCTTACATCTAACATACGTGGACATGATGGCTAATAAAACAATTTTATTTTAGGGTATGATTTTAAATTTATCTATTTTTACTATATCAAATGGAAAATTATATCATTACTTCACATAAAAATTTATTTTATGCTGTAATTATTCAGCATGTATTAAATTGGAGTATTATTCATCAAGTTCTAAATGAAAAAGATTTCAAACTGACCATCTGTCATTTCTCTAGAAGAAGACCCTTTATGCATTTGAGGAGAATTCTTTCTTTTTGTTTTTTAATTTTTTATTTTTTGGTTTTTCAAGTCAGGTTTTCACTGTAGCTTTGGATCAAGCTCTTGTAGTTCAGGCTGTCTTGGAACTCATAGAGAACTGCCTGCCTCTGCTTCCGGAGTACTGGGTTTAAATGCGTGTGCACCACCACCTGGATTTGAAAAGCTTTATTTAGTGAAAATATAAACATTTAATGTCAGTATGTTGACCACTTTTTTCCTTTAATACTCACTTCCAAAGATAGATAACATTTTGTGAAACATTATAGTATCATGAGGTAAATATTATAGACAGATTCAGTGAAAAGCAGCATGGTTCTAACCAGAAAAATAATTTAATTCTTTGGTTCTCATATGAACTCCATTTTGCAGATTGGCCCAGAGGTCAGTTACATTCTCCACTATCATCCAATTACTCATCTCAGACAGTCTCACTTCTGGGTTACAAATAGCAAACCCACGACGGTTGCCTTTCCTGGTGTAGCAGGCACTCTATGGAGACACATAACTGTCAGTCACGGAATGTGCTGTAATAAAATTATAACTTCATTAGGGAAAACATGCTTCTCTGAGTGACTCTCTTGCAGACTCATGAGAAACAGGGGAGTTTGCAAAGACAACTGTCTCTTTAGTAAAGCCTTCTCATAACAGACCCTGTGCCCTGACAACTAACCCAGGAGCAGGAGGGATATCCTGAGAGACTCTTAATGCAGTGTTTGCTCTTATTAAGGCAACCATATTTAATCCTTGAAGGTCTCTCTTTCAACAAACCTGCTTGGGGTCAATATCTCACTATTCAAGATTTATAGACAGCGTCTAAGAGAATAAATGGGCATGTTAAGAGTCTCGTACCCGTTCATCATCATCATCTATCTTCAAAAAGGATAAGCTGCAGTCCTGGCAGGTCAGCTTACAGTCATTCCAGCGTTTATTGTCCATGATGAAATAATAACATTTCATACCACAGCACAACAAGTGTGCTTCAGCACATTTGCCTGTAACAGAAAAAGAATTGTGAAAATTCTTAATTTTAAGTGTTCTATTATTAGAATAATGTATTTGTTAAACATCTATAACTGAGTAAAATCTCATATTTCTCAGAAATTGAGATTATAGAAATTGAGTGACCCCTGTACACCCATGCTCTATGCAGCACTGTTTATAATAGAAATATGAATATAATTTAAGTGTTCATTATGGATGAATCAGTAGAAAAAAATGTAGCATGGTGCAGGAGAATTGTCTGTATTCTGTCAATGATGACGATTGACCAGGCAGGAAGTATAGATGGGAAAACCAGACAGCAAGTAGAGGTGATGCAACGAGAACAGGAGAATTCTGAGAAGGAGCAAGTTGATTCCTCCCACTACTGCTCAGAGCAAGTAAGAAGCAAAATTGATCTGTTGCACTTAAAAAGGTACTGAGCAATATAGCTAAAATAGATATGAAAAATGGGTTAATCAAGATATGAGAATTAGCTAATAAGTAGTCTGACCTAATGGGTCAATCAGCTTTATAACTTATAGAGACCTCTGTGTGATTTTCTTTGGGGCTAAACAGCTGTGGGAACCGGGCAGGACAGAAAACACAAACAAGCAGGCCCCTTCATGTTACAGAGCATGTACACACACAAAAAAATACTATATCCTTGAAAGGGAAGTAAATCCAACAGGGTATGGCTTATGCCTATAAGCCCATTCTACATAGGCTGAGGCAGGAAGTTCACCTCCAGTTTGAGGTCAGCCTTGGTTAAACAGTGATTTCAAGGCCAGTCTTGGCTATACAGTATTTTCCAAGTCAGCTTTGCTTATATAATGAAACCATTTCTAACACCTAGCACCTCACAACACTTATGAGTCTCCCAAGTGACTCCTGACTTCTGCTCACTTAGTGTCAGGACACAGCGGTGGGTGTGAGAAGATTCATTATGAATGAAACAGCAGAATCTTTGCAATATCCTCCCTTTCTCAGAAGTCTACAAGAAAGTCTGTCAGAGAAGCATGGGTGAATTTGAAGTTAGAATGCAAAGTGAAACAAACTGAGGCCAGAACCAAGCTTTTTGATTCCACTCAGATGAGGTTTCTAACAAACTTCAACACTAAGAAGCAGAGGTTTGTAAGATCCCAGGGGCTAGAGTAATGAGAAATGAGTACTCGGTGCTCTGAGGTTGTTACATGTAGGATGCAATGGAGATCTGCAGCAATGCACTGTGCCCACAGTGGCCCACCTGCTATTATGCATGTACAGCTGTGCTGTGGTCTATGTCAGATACTTTTACCTTAATTGGAATAAGAGACGTATAAAGAAGCTTTTGATGACGATCTTCTGTTCTCCTGCCTTCAATGGTACACTCACATGCCCCAAAGTGTCAAATTTGAATTCATTAAAACATGTGTGGTTTCTATAGCTACATTTCAATGCCATTTATTTGTTTGCTCTGGTGGTAAGGATACCCTGTCTGTATTAATAAACCTTTATGTACAACCCATTTTTCTGTGCAGAAGGTAACATCAGCATATAGTTCAGGCTGCCTTGAAATGTCCTGGACACCAAGACTGTTCTCAAATTTTCAATCATCCTTCCTCTTTGTTCTAATCAGAAGCATTGCAGGGCTACCACTTAGAGGAGACAGCCATTTTATTCTAATATAATAATACAAAACATTTTTGATGAATCCAGAATGACTCAATAATTATTTTTGGAGCTTCATTTTTTATTTAGTTTATTTAATTTATTCATTTATATTTTATATTTGCTAGTTTTAAAGATATTATTAGTCTTTGAATAATAAAGATGGTCAACTCTTGCTATCAAACACTGAGATTATATGCAAGAGTTCTTTGTGAACACTAAATTCTGAAAAAACACTTCATAATTGATGGTAAACTGTGTCAATTATAGCTAACCAGTCATGATGCAAGGGAAGATTCCTTGTAATATTAGATGTTTTCATCTCTGTGTCACTGATAGACACACACCAGTGTGAGCATCATGGTGAAGCTCTCATGTGCACTGTGAGGAAAACACCTTGGTCACAAACAAGCCAACTTTCTGAAACCAAAGCAAAGATAGTACAAACAATTATTTTTATGACAGTGTCCATGTAAATGTTCTTAGTCCATTTCGGCTTAGGAATTTGGAAAACACTCTCTTACTGGAAACTCCCACATTCTGTTAACAACGAAAGAGAGACCCAGCTTTGCTCACAGATGAAAACAACTTGAATTCTCAGCTTTGCTGATTTGAGCTTCCCTTCCTGGGAGCCGTAGGAGACAGAACAGTCACTGAGTTCTAGAAAGTGTAATATGTTCCTAATTCAAACAGGGATTTCTGGGGTTCTAAGTCCCTACAGAATATAAGGAAACCCAACCACTAACCCACACATCATCAGGACTATAACCTGATAACTGAACGTCAAATCTTCTGGAGATCAATCAATACAAAATAATCCAATTCCTTATTCAAGATCTGCTCCTTACCTGTGTACTTTCCGTAATCTACAACAGCCTTAGTTTTCCCACAGCATCTGTTCAGTCCCTCCTGATTTTTGCAGCCTTCAGAATCTGAGGACTTATTTGTCAATGTTTTATTTAAGAAGCTGGTATTTTGTACAGTGCTTTGATCAAGGTTGTTTTGACATTTCATTGGCTCATATTTATTTTGAAAAACTAAAATTTAAAAAGATACAATTCAAAATGTTTATTAATACTAAATATTGAAATTTAGTATATAAGAAAAGGCCTCATGTTGATAACACATGCCATTACTTCAATCGCTATTTTGACATTTTTAAAAATAACAACTCAATTCCCTCACTAAAGAGATGGAAACATCAATTTCTATCAGAAACTTCAGTATAAAGTAAATGATAAAGCAAAATTAAATTATGGTGGGAGCATATTATCCCACAATCCCTTCAATTTTTTTCCACATAAAACTTACAAATAAATATCTAACTAATGAACTCAGTCAACCTTTAGCATACACTAAAAATGTGAATTAAGAAACATGTAGATATGGCACAATTCTCAAAGCACCAGATGGGAAATTATAATATAATTTAATTCTAATACCTAGCTCCTCACAACCCCTATGAGTCCAACCATTAAGCCACAGATCATCAGCCTCATAAGTTGCTAACTGGACTTCAAAACTTCTGGAGAAGAAACAATACAGAATAATGCAGTTCCTTATTCAAGATACCCTTATTACCTGTGTGCCCTAGGCAAGCTAAAAGAAAAAACCTTATCTTCCCTACAGCATCTGTTCCATTCTCTGTTGAGGGACTCCACGTTCTTTTGATGTTTAAGGTCACCACACTCTCTAGGTTTATTTCTCAGCATTTTTTTCTTTACGTATCTGTCTTTTTCCATGGTATGATACATTAGATTGAGGTTTCTTATAGTTTTTTGCAGTTCATGTTTTTATTCACTATACTAAAAAACTAAACTTAGTAGTAGGTATAATACAAAAAAAATGCCTGTAAGGAGTAAATATTGAAATTTAAGGTTAGAGAAAAAATTCAAGTTGACAGCAAATACATATCGTTACTTAAATTGCTATTTTGACACTTAAAAAGCAACACTTCATTTAACTCACTATAAGAATGGAAACATAAACTTGTCACTATTGGCAGATTCAATGTAAAGTAGATGAAATAGTTAAAAATATATTACGGTGTGAGCAACTTATACTCTGATTATTTCAATTTTTCATAGCAAAAAACTTACAAATAAATATTTAAGGAAAATATTCAGAGAAACCTAGGACAGCATGAAAATTTGAACTAAGAAACATGAAGTACTAACACAGTTATCATAGAAGCAGATGGACTACCCACAAGAGAAGAGATGATAATATGAATATGAAAATTTCCGGCTTTCATGGAGCTTAGCCCATCAGTGGTTTTCTCTAAGGATGTGAGGACATCAAACAAAAGATAAAGCTGAAGTTTTAGAACTTCTAACTTCTGTGTACAGATTCCATTTATTCACTTAACCATATCCTCGATATAAGCTTGTGCAAGAAATACGTAAATCGATGTAATTTATTTTGTACTGCTACTTTTTACAGGCTGTTTATGCAAGATTCATAATCACTAAAGCTCAGAAAGCAGAATATCAGCAGTTCATGTATTATCACAGGAAATATTATTCTGAGTAAGACAAGCAGCCCCAGAGTCATTGTAATGCCCACGGTTCAGGAGTCCAGGGGAAAACAAACAAAAAAAACTTACAAATTCTGGGCCAGCTGGAATGTCACCTGATGACAGACAAAATAATGAATAAAGTATGATCTCTGTAGCATAATTAGTGTCTATTGATACTAGCTAGACAAATGAAGTATGTGAATTACTCACTGTATGTCAGCCACACTGCAATTGCCGTCATCAGAAGTAAACAAAGGATCCCAAGAGCTACTGCAATGAAATGTAAGGAGATTGTAAGAGATTTAACTCTAAAGACATCAAAATTGGTAACAGAATCATCACCAGGACCATCCCATGATTCACCACTAGCCATAACCTGGATCTTCATATGACAAAGGGAAGATAAACTCTAATGTTTTAAGCAAAATTCCAGAATAAAAACTAACTCCTACACCTACTTTTCAGAGAATGGCTCAGAAGAGAGGACTAAAGATTGTAAAGTACAGACTCAAGACAGGGAAGCTGCATTCAGCAATCTCAAAAATAGCATAACCTAAGCAAGACTAGCCCAACCACAACACCAGAGGATATGCCAATAAGGACAGGGGAAATCTCCACACGACCACAGGCAATTGATAACAGGTGAGAGAGAAAATAAATCTCTTCTAGGAATGAGCCCATAATTGCAAATCTAATACCAAGTGGTCAGCTCTAAAATACATGCATATGAACAGTGATAAATGGAATATGAGATTAAATAAACACATGTAAAAATATTACTAATAATTAAAGGGAAAGGAAACAATAAAGACAATACATCAAAGTAGGAGCATTATGAAGAACTGGAAAGGTAACAGGGAAAGGGGAACAGGATATAATAATAATGGATAAAGATGATCAGTAAATTATATTTACTTGTACACACAAATCATAATGAAACCCTTTATTTTATATAATTAATAAATTCTAATGAGCTCTACAAAGTTTCAGTTTTAGATTTCTTGATGTCAGACAACTATTCTGCTTATTCCCTATGTATAAAAGCAGTTCTCGAGGAGTTTAGATCAGTTTCGCCCATTCAACCTTGAGCTCTCAGTCTTCCTGACTCAGTCTCACGGGAAACTGGAATGACAGGCTTGAACTGCCTCTTCCTGGTACACACAGTTTGCTCCTTTTACAAATCACTGAAGGAATAAGCACAATGCATGTAGAAAACACCAAACTGCAATTAGCAGCCCACTAAAGAGATCACAAGTCAGCATGAAGAGGAAGGAAAGATCAGCCTTGAGAAACTTTGAGAAGCTGGTAGCCATTCTAAAAATTCTGAAATCTATAAGGTTCCATACTCAAAGATTTCCTAGAAGTCTGCTCCTTTCCTTTGTATCAATTATGTTTTTCTCAGGAAAATAAGATATTTATCCTTGTGACTTAAGGTCTTGGGTTCTAGGGTCCCGCATCTTATTATCACCACACTAACATAGCAGAAGTTTTCAGTTTAGACACTGAATGAGACAGTATTTGAAGTACAAGAAATTGAGACTTCCTGTCTGACCTGACCGTTGATGCTGATAATTGGCATTGTTTAGAAAGAGATTTGTTTTTAATACATAATTTTCTTTTTTTTTCTTTTTTGTTTGTTTTGTTTTGTTTTTTTGAGACCAGAGTTCTCTGTAGCTTTGGAGCTTGTCCTGGAACAAGCACTTGTAGACCAGGCTGGCTTCGAATTCACACTGATCTGCCTGCCTCTGCCCCCCAAGTGCTGGGACTAAAGATGTGCACCACCACTGCCCAGCTATACTTTTTATTTCTTTAAGATTTTATTTCTTTAAAAAATTTGGTGTTTCTTCAGACTGTAGTTTATTTCTAAAGGCCTCATATTTTAAAATCATAATTTGATAAAATTAACTAAAAGCTGATGGTTTATCAAATTTATAAAAGTATATTCAAGGCAGGCTAGTTCGCTCACAATTGTAATCCCATAATTTGAGAGGTTGAGCTGGGATAATCAAGGATTCTGGGCCACCCTTTGCCATATAGTACAGTTAATATCGGTCCTGGCTACTTGAGACCCTGACTCAAAAAATAATAATAATAAATAACACAAGGCAAATAAATTATTGATTTTTTTCAATCTCCAATTATTATATTTAAAAAAAACACTTCTAAGGCTTCACTTCTTCCAGCAGTGATCAGTAAGGGTAGGACAGTTTGCAATGTCTGGTATGTACAGCACCTAGAAGGAGAGGACTCACCTTTGTGGCCAACATCTCTGGGACCTTGAGTCTCATCTTGTCTGGCTGGACTCTGTGACTCTGAAAAAGACTCATAAACTCTTGAGTTTGAATATATCACCTGCTGATCCCTCATCATGGGCAGAAGCAAGAAGGCTTAAATTAAAATATTGTCTTGGGATGATGTCTAGATGAAGAAAAAATTAAAAGGCCAAAGTTTAAAATATTCCAGAATTTTATGCTGGGGTAGGGTGGAAGATTATTAACTCCTTTAATGATCTGAACACTGTAAAGACTGTGGAAGGTGGCTGGCTTCCAAAACATATGATAAACCTTTTTAACTAACAATGAGTGTTGTTAAACTCATTGTATGTTAACAATACAATGGCTAAACATCTTAAATTTACAAATAAAGACAGGGTGGCAACATGGCCAAAAGCATGTTTGACAAATCTGGTGCCCCCTAAGTAACTGACATATTTTAAAACTATTATCAGCACATCAAAAATTGTAAACTTGCTTAAAATCAAATCTCTTTGTTTTTAAAGTTTTTGTAAATGTGTGATACTCACATGGATATAAAATGATCTTTCTTCTTTTGACCACATTTAGAAACTTTTTGCCAGAAACAATGTCCAACAGATTATATGAAAGGAATAGTACAGGAAATTAAAATTTCAGATTCCAGATGTGATAATAAAAGTCTGAGTAAAAGCCAAAACACCTGTATTCGTAATCACAAAGGATTTCATGGACATGAACACTCCACAAAGAATAGTATAATGTATAACATTACTGAGGACCCTCTATAAAACTAATATTTTTCTACAGTGGTACCTGCTCTTTGTCCCAACACTTGGGAATCTGAGGCAGGAGGATCTCTAAAGCCAGAACATCTAGATATCAAATTTCCAAAAAGATAGGACTACAGAGAGGGATTCTGTCTCAAAAAATAGAAGAAAAAAATAAAAATTTGTCAGTAAGCATCACAAATATTCATAAATTATTCATTCTCAGGATAGCAATTAATAAACAAATTATCTTGCCTCTTCCATTAAGCAGGATTTGAAAGAGCAAGGAATAAATAGGTAATATTAAAAATTTTTTGATGATCTCAATTAATTTCTAGTATATCTAACCCATTTTCATTGATGAAACTTTCTAAACTCATTTACAACTTTCCTAATTCCCTAAAAATAAAATGGCTTCCTATTATAAAATTCTACAAAGTGCAGAAGAAAGTATATAAACCACTTGAACTAAGTAATTAATTCTACTGAACACTGTATATCACACACAACAAAATCATAGCACACTAAAAGAACATTCTCTTGAAACTTAATTCCAATGTTCATAGGCAGACCTAACAGAGTCCTAATACGATCGACTGTCTTTCCTATGTCTGTTACTGTTGTGCCGGCCATTTGTAGCTGAATGATATTTCTATAGAATAAGTACGATCCTGTGTAGAAGTGTCTACAGGAATCAAAATAGTTGTTACCTATAGCCCATCCAGGTGGTGATGCAGGTGAAGGAAACTGGGGATCAAGAACAAGTTGTCCTTTTCAGTTCTGATTCCCCTCAGAAGCTTCAAATGAAACACAGAAGAGAGTTCCTTCTGTAAGATACTCCAGCCCTTAAAGTTCTGCCCCTCCTCAACAAAGTGAAAAAAGGAAATTGTAAGTTGAAAACTGATACTGAAAGATAGGAAACATGAGTTATGCATTCCTGCATATGAAAAGATCCCCATTTCATATACAGCAGAATCACTTTTGTAACCAGTATTTGGTGACTTAAAGGATAAAAGAAAATACATTTTGAGAAAACACTGACAATATTTTCAGCTAAAATGTAATGTAATTAAAAGAAGCCATTGTTTAGAAGACTGAAACAGTTCAATATGAATATGAGGGTATATAGACTAAATGGATGACTAAGTTCTTCAGTTCCAAATTTTAATAATTTTCAGGAATTTTGCTTTAGATTAATATCCATTAATATTTCAGAGTAAATATTTCTGTTTATTTTTTAATTTTGTCTATTGAAGTCAATGTATATTAGGAATGTCATAAGACAGTCATATTCCCATTGTGATTTTCTTGGTGTTTACTGATCTATCCTTTAATCCACACATAATATTTACAATGAAAGTTGATGTCTTTCCACATTGGTTTCATTGCTGTCATTTTTATGAGACAGGGCTCTTAAACCCAATCTCTTGAATGTCTTCCACAAGAAATGAACTGTGAACTTCATGTCTTTTGAGGACTTGCTTATTTGTTTGCTTGGTTTGTTGGTTGGTTGCTGGTTTGGTTTTTTGGTTCTGTTTCAGACAGGATCATGTTGTCTAACTAATAATGGCCTGAAACCCACTATGCAGCCCAGGCTGGATTCAAATTCAATATTCTCCTACATCATCCTCCTCAAGTTCTATGTTACAGATATACATTACTGGACAGTTTACACTGTGTGTGTGTATGTGTGTATGTATGTGTGTGTGTGTATGCATGTCTGTGTGTCTCTCTGCATTTGTCTCTCTTTGTGTGTGTGATGTGTATGATGACTACAATATGACTTATATAAACCAAAACTTACATGCAACAAGCCATGCTAATACACTGCTGCAATTCCAGGAAGCACAGGCAGGAGAATAATCGGAAGTGCAAGGAGAGCTTGGTCTACTACATACTGAGTGTCAGAACACCTAGAAATATTAAGTGAGACCTTATCTGTAAGCACCCCTCCTCTCTGACAGCAGGTGTCATAAAGCAAGTCCATCCATCCCATTCATTGTTCTACATATGCCAGTCTGCAACTATCACCCTTCACTTTGTGGCATGTGTCGGCAAATGTTATGCCTCACCTCAAAGGATGACAACTGACAATGAGATTTCCAACCTTAAAAATCTGAACCCAAACAAACCTCTTTTCATTGTAACTTATTCAGCCTATTGCTCTGTTACAGTAACTGTATTGAACCAGCATACACATGAGCTAGGTTCTTTTTCCTATCATATCAAACTGGTAGTGGTAGTTAGTATTGTGGACTTGACAAGATCAAGCAGAGACAAAACTTGGGTGCACCTGCCAGAGATGATCTATGCTAGATTTAGCTCTGAAAAAGACTATGAAGGATTTTATTTGCTAGGTTAATCGCGGTGGGAAGATCCATTGCAGCTGGTGCCATTTTCCTACATTGGAATCCCAGACTGTATAAAAAAAAAAAGAGAGCAAGCTGAGTACAATCGCTCATTAACTGTTCTGTTTCTTGCTATGATAAATGTGGCCAGCTGCCTCAAACTCCAGCTACAGTGACTTTTTTTATGACAAAGGACTATAAATTTGAACTGTGAGTGAAAATAAACCCTTCATTCCCTACGCTGGCTTGCCTATATTTTATCATAACAGAAGAAGATCCTAAGATGCTGTGATGACAGGTTGTTTTGCTTTGTTTTAGAATAGAGACCTTAAGTGAAACCGATGATCTGAGAAATCCACAACAGTGATAAAAACATCACTGATGACCTCAGGTCTGAGGATTCCCATCAAACTGTTCACAGAAAGGTTAATCGTGTTATGACATTTTTCTGATTTCCATCCTTGATGGGAGGCTGTGGTCCTCAGCAGAAATATGGAGAACATGCAGAGCACTTGCCCACGTATGAGTGTTGTTTGTCTCCTTTCTCTCTGAGACTGTGATACATGCACAACGTCTTTCCATCCTGTCTGTGACAGCAGAATGGACAACAGATTAAGTCAACAGTGTGTTTGACAAACAATGACAATAGTGTGAACAGAAACTACATACATAGTGGAGACAGAATCATGCAAATAACTGGAACGACAAATAAAGCAGCAGTTCAAATTTTATCTTCTGTTTATTATGAAGCTCTGAGTTTCTGATAAAGAAAGTCTTCAAATGAAGATGATTACGTTCATCTCTTCACAACTAATTGATTGACACTCACACTGCAGTTCTTTGAGCAAAGTATCGCACAAAAAAAGAAGTATGAAACTTAATCACAACCGGCTAATAAGACAGAAAGGTGGGAAATTTAAAAAATGTTTTTCATTTTATTTTTTCTTCTAACTTCACTTTTGTGTAGAAACACATGCAGATAAACATAAATACATATCCACTATATATCTATGTTTTCTGGTTCAGTGCTGCAAGAATCACTTTTATTTGGGAAGCCACACCATGTGCCCATTCACTTGTGGTGAGACTGCAGCTAGGAAGCTGTGCACATCAGTGCAGTCACACCTCCCAATGTCTGGTCACACCCTCAGACCTCAGGAGTCTTTATCATTTCACCTCTGCAAACTGCCCAAGCTGAGGAGGTTATATGGAATAGCAAACAGTTCACCGAGAAGTTTAGTTTGAACCACTTTGCTGGGGAAACTGTCTTTCCCGGTCAGTTTCTCACCTGATGATACTTCTCTTCAGAGGTCAAACGTTGACAACACTAAACTTCACACTTCTTAAAGCAAGAAAAACAAAAAAAGAAAAAACCGCTCTATTTTGAGATTTCCTGTGCCCATAATCAACTGATCTGTCGTAGCATCTATAATCAGAGCTGTTCTTACACTCTGTTATAGTACCTACCCACACAGTGTTTAGATATAGTAATAGTGTGTCCTTCTGGTCCAGAAGCACCAAGAGCAAGGAAATGAGAAAGACGTTTTGGGAATTCAGTAAGAGTAATAAAGGGGCCCCTAAATGATTTCAAATGGATATCTAGGCTCTTCCATATTGGGGAATGAAATCCGAATCCGTTACTAAGTTTTTTGCCTCTTCAGTCCCAGTCCACTCAGTTTATCATAGGACGATGTTTCATCCTCTGTGGAGTCTACAGGCTTAGATCATCCTTCTCAAAGCATTCTTTCTTTTACATTTAATTTTTTCCTGACACATGGTCTGATATAGTCTATTGTTCATATTCCTGATAAAAATGTTCACATAGTGGACTGGACATTTGGCTAAACAGGTAAGAGCAGTGGCTGCTCTTCCCAAGGACCCAACTTTGATTCACTGAACCCACACAGGGCCTAGGAACTATCTTTATGCTTAGTTTCAGGGTCTCTGACTTCATCTCTAGCATCGAGAGTAATAAGCTCATTATCTGGTACACAGACACACATTCAGGCAAAACAAGCATACATATAAAATAAGGTATTTTTTTTCAAAAAAAAACTGTTCACTTACAGACCAGCGGGACATTGATTAAATTCTTGCCAGTACTCTTCACAGCACACAGAGACACAGAACATTGAGAGTTAAAAGAAAACTGAGTTAGTATGAGATTATAGGAGAGCCTGATGAAGACATTTCCTCCAGTATTTCTTGCTGTTCTCTATTATTTCATTGGGTGCACAGCGGTAATAAGCTCCAGACTATATGTGAGAAGAGATGAGCATAGTGAGGAAACTTTCTAAGAGATCTACTGAAAAACAAAACAAAAATCCTGAAAGTATTAAATAATTTACCAAGGTGGAACCATAAAAGGTAAGTATAAAAAAAGAACTTTAATTTTAGTTTTATAAATTAACAGATAACGTCAAAATATTGAAAGACAAATTATCATTAAAACTATCAATATGTATAAGGCATAAATCAGAATCCTGAGAGAAATAAAGACCTCACCCAATGGTGAATGAAGACACACCATGAGTTCAAACATTTGTTTCCTCTTTTGAAAATTCTTTGCTTAGACCTGCAGCCCACTTTTAATTGGGTTGTTTTCTTTCTTTTTGAATATTTATTTATTTTACATCCTAAACTCAGTTTTTCCTCCCTCTTTCCCCCACTTCTCCTATACCCCTCCCCCATCCACTTCTCCATTTCTGTTGAAAAACAGACAGGCCTCCCAAGGATATCAAGAGAACATGTCATATCAAGTTACTGTAAAACTGAATGTCTCCCCTTTTATTAAGGCTGGGCAAATCAACCCAGTATGAGAAGTAGCGTCCCAAAAGCCAGTAAAAGAAACAGACCCTTCTTTCACGGTTAGGAATTCCACAAGAAGACCAAACAACACAAAATATAGGCAGAGGTCTTAGATCAGTTCCATGTATGCTTCCTGGTAGTTGGATTAGATTCTGTGCGCTCCTATAAACCCAGGTTAATTGATTCTGGCTTCTCTAATCCCTCCTTCTTCTATTCAGCAAGATTCCTCACGCTTAGCATACAGTTACCTAAAAGTCTCTGCATCTATTTCCTCAAGTTTGCTGGATGAAGCCTCTCAGATGAGTCTAGCTTGTGTCAAAATGACATAAAACTAACCTGCACAATGGTTCATGAACATATGTACATGTTTATAAACTCATATTTCTAATGACTTACAGTGGTAATGTTTAATTACATATACACTCCAAGGTCAAATTTGATATTTTTAATGTCAGGCTCAAAAAAATAAAGGCATCAAAAGTCTATAACCATTTTAGAGCTAAAGAACATTACAATGAAAGCACAAATTTAGTGAATGTGAGGAAATATCAATAGTGATATAACCCAGAAAACTGACAATTATTAATATGGAGTATGGAATAGATCATATGGCTAGGTCAATATTAAATTTCTTGATTTTAATCATTTTAATGTAATGTTATAATAGAAATATCTTAGAAAATATTTATGGACAGTTTA